CCCCTACATTTTGGGGGTCAGAAATCTGAGCGTTTATTCACAAAGAGTACAATTTTTGTGTCTGATTTCGCAACTTAAAATATCGTCTACACTAATTAATTAGCATATATGAAGTCATCCCCTCGAACCATTAAGATTGAGTCCCAAAACGTGAAGATCCGATCATTAAATCAAAAGTTATATTCAGGATGGTCGATTTATTTTTTTGCTCGCTGTGCGGAGTAAAATACCTTTATTCTACCCGACAAAGTACAAAATTAATGGTGGCCACCGATCATAGGACAACTAAATACAAAAAATGGCGATTAAAAAGTTGTTTGTTTATCACCATTTTTTTTCCTCACGGAAACATGCACCCTATGTGCTCCAAAATGCGTACTTTCAACTTCTTCACAGGAAAGCTCAGGACATTTTACGCGGATTCAAAATTTAAGGGAGACTGAATTTGGCTATCAAAAGTTTCCTTAGAATTATTGTAAATTTCATATTATTTGTTTCATTGACGGCTGATAATATTTAAATGTAATCTAATTAGTTTAATTTCATTTTTATGATTATAATTATTTCAGATAATTTTGTAAATAAATAGATTTCCCGCCTGGTTATAAATGTAAATTTTAAATTGCATTATTGGATCGAAAACATAAATCCTAAATTTTATTAATATACATAATGTTATTATGCATAATGTCACATAAACCTACTACGAGAGATCAAGAAAATTTTAGAAATTTTTTATTTTAGAAATAAAACTTGTACCATAATTTGAGAAATGCTTTTCATTAGAAATATGCATATTTTTTTAATTTTTTTTTTTAAATAGCTGGAAATTTTTAATTTTTGAAAACAAAGCCTCACATTTTTAAAAGTATTAAAAATGTTACTACTAGCTGCTAATGTTACTATTTTAACTATGCGACTTGATTAAAATTTGATTTCTCAGGAACTACAGGACTGACTTCGCTCAGATTTTGCATTTTACTATACAAAATAGTATTCTTTCAAATTATGTAAAAAACGTTTACCTCACAATTTATAATTTTTTATTATTATTAAATAAAATGATAAAAAATAAATAACTGTTAAATTTTTTTGTATAAAACTATCTTTGGATAAACAAATATTGAGTGAAAAAAACTGTTACGTTCTCTTAAAAAGTTTTCGAGATTAAGCAAAAAAAAAAAAGAAAAAGTTAGGTTAACATTTAGGGGTCCAAAATTTTGACCGCTGTCTTGACTAAAAAACTATTGAGGGACCTTATTTCCCAGATTAAGGCTACTTCCTATATTTTGAGGGTAAGAAATCCGTCAGAAAAAAAGACATGATAATTCAGAGAAAGTACATTTTTCTGCCTATTTCGTAAATTAAAGTATCGTCTGCACAAATTAATTAGCATATTTGAAGTCACCCCCTGAAACCATTAAGTTTAGCACGTAAAAACTATGTCATTTGTTTAAAAGTTATTCAAATGATTCTTCCTTTTTTTCCATTATTATTATTTTTTGCGCACTGTACAAAAGGTTGAAAAAATTTTAAATAATAATTGAGATAAATACCACTACTGCAGCAATTATTTTAACTTGAGAAATAAAAGACCCTCTGATCTTACATATATAATACTCAATTACATATAAAATTCATTACACATATAATTCTCAATTATGACTTTTAATGATATATTACAATAACTGAAAATTATAAATTCTCAATTATGACTTCTTTTATGATAAATTACAATAACGGAAAATTATAAATTCTCGATTATGACTTCTCTTATGATAAATTACAATACCAGAAAATTATAAATTTCGAATCACAAAAGCCAACATTGACAGCTGTCTTTTTGAGCATTTCTAATTTGCAAATTTGAGCCTTAAAAACAAATATCAAATCACATTCCGTGCTGCTTTTTATCAGCAATCTTTCCCACTGTGCGTCGGTGCAGCTTTTTCCTTCTGATTCGCTTCAGTAATACTGTGTGTGCGTGATGCAGCTTTATACTTAATGCTGCGAGTGCGTGATGTATTATTTTCGATCTATGTCCTAATAAAATTTAATTTGCCAGCACTGCTCTTGTTTTCATCACCTTTGTAAGCGACAAGAACGAAAAAGGGAAGGGAAATACGTTTAAAACAATAGGAAATAAAAAAAATTCGAAACTTTTTCGTTCCAAATTTTTTTGTCTTTCTTTCTTTTTTCTTTTTTGTACAAAAAATCACTATGAATTTATATAATGTGTAAAATTTTTTTTTAAGAAAAAAACAGTCGATGCAGGATAAACAATGTAGATTTTCTAAACACAAAAATGACATTGTTTCTAGAAACATACACGTATATTTTGTCAAAATACCATATCCAAAACGCTCCCGTAATTCTACAAATATCGCCATAATGTAAATTGTACAACTGAATATTATCTAAAAATCATATATTAATTATGAACGCGATATGAGATTTTTAATAGCGTAAATTACAAATCGTGAAGTGTATATTGCAAACCCAGATATTAAGAATCACTGAGCGTTGAATATATCAATCAATTAATAGCAATAAGTTATTTCATTAAAAAAATGTGTTTTACGATATTTGTTAAAAACAACAACACTACATTTGAAGTAGGTAAAGTGGGTATTTGGCAATTTGAAGGTAATTTAAAGTAGGTAATTTGAAGTAAGTAAATGTTTGTGTGTACCGTGTTTTCTAAAAGAAGTTTGGAAACTTGTATCATATCTGTCTAGAATCCGTGGTCATTCAGGGTATAAGCGAGGTGAACCGGGTTCGAATCCCAGCGATGGCTGTCGACATGAATTCCGCCCCCAGCTCACACAGACCACAATGCTGGCTTAAAATATCCTCAGTGATAGACGAATCATAGGTTAGAATATATTTTGCCGTCTGTCGACGGTAAGGGGATTCTTAAGGAAAGTGCGTGGTTTTCCTCTTAACTCTATGCGGGTTTGCTCCATCAAAAATTCAGTCACCAAGGCTAGTTTGTTTCTGGCTTGATTCTGGAGTTCCCTTGTCTTCTAGGTTGAGTTCAAAATTACAAGGCTACAGAGTTGAATATTGATAGTCGCAAGGCTGTTCAACGGCGATTATAAAATAAAATATTCCCCGATTCACATAATGTGAGGAGACGTATTTTTAAATTTTTATTTCTCTAGAGCCTTTCGTCAAATTCTGATGAAACTTTACACTTTTATCATTTAAAAATACATAGTTTTAAATAATTCGAAGAAATTTTTCATATTTTGCAATTAAACATCTTTTTAAATAAATTCCTAATTTTTCTTATTGATTTCGTCTTAAAAAATTATATTTTAGATGAAACTCTTTAGATAAACAAGTTGTAAATGCCAGGGTGGGTAGCCAAATTATTCAACAAAAAATAAGCACTTTTTAAGCTCTTTTCAAGCACTCAAAAAATATTTTTAAGCACTTTAAAAAAAAAATAATTAGGCAGGGTTGGAAAGCTTTTGACAACTGATGGTTTTATCTTGTTTTAACCGTCATGTAAAAAAAAATTTTAGCATTGCTTTTGACAATTGTCAAAAGTCATGAAATTTTGAATCATGTAAAACGAATGGCGTTTTCATACGCTACGGACTGACAATCAATGCCTAGAAAATCAGTGCTATGTTTGCTTCATCTTATATATGTGAACAAGTGTTTTCAACTATGAACCCAAGANCTTAGAAAAAATCATTTCAGAAGTAGACTAACAGACAAACATTTAGCCTCGTTTCCTAAAATAATTAATATCTCACTTGTAACCTCAATATAAGGAACTTTTAAAAATGAAATCGCATTTTCATTCATCTCATTAAATATTTGAATAAAAACTTGTAGATCTTTTTTTTATTTTAGAAAATTTTACTTAGCCCACCAAACTTTTTTTCCCAAATTTTTGCCCTCGACCAAAAAAGTTTGCCCATCCCTGGTATAAACAATTCCTTTGGAATAAGATCTCATAAATAAAAGGTATGTTTATACAGAGAAAGGAAGATTTTTTGTCTGATTCTATAGCTTAATATTAAGCACTACTTAAATTGGTAAATCAACATACATACAATTAGCATATATAATTATCGTCAACCCTTTGAACCATTTAGGATCAGCACAGAACCCATTTTAGGCTAAACATGGAAATTTTCTAAAATGTAATATTTTCATTGAAATATGCTTAAATTACATTCATTAAGACACAAAAAAAGTTTTGTGCATGAAAAAAAAATTATTTAAGAAATAAAATGATGCGTGTATGCACCATTCGCTAAATTAATGGACAAATAATTTAGTTGATCACTTTTATGACATTTGTTTTATTTTTATTTTATTTACAGAACTTGCCACTTTAATCCATAATAAAAATGCAGGATTAATCTCAAATGGAATAATTATACTTTTTCAAAAAGTCAAATTTATCAATAACTGTCAAGTAAAAAATAAAACTTGCGTAGATTAAAAATTTCTTAACAAGAAGTGTTTACACCAATTGAATTACTAATATTCTGTATGTCTTCAGAACCCAAAAATGGGTTAATGGGTTAATACATGAAAATCCAATCATCATATCAAAAGTAATTTAACTGTACAGTTGTCTTTCTTTTTTTTTGTAATTTGTGCACTGAAGATATTTATATAAAACACAAGAAAAGATTTAGTTGCATTTAGAATATTACTGAGAAAAGAATTTAAATGCATTCATAGTCATTTCTCACTCGCTTTTTTTAATTTATTTAAAATTATACTTCAAAACTAACAAAGAAATTAGACATAAATTTTTGTAAACTTCAAGAAATTAAGAAACTTATTTATTAAATTTTTTTTAAAGCTGATAGCAAAGAAGCTAAAAACAAATAGAAGTATGGATATTTACGTCACAAAAAAATACAAAATACATGCATAAAAAATCGAGTTTTGTACCCCTTTAATAACTGCTCGACAATATTATAAAATAAAAAATCTAAAGATAATATGTATTAGGAAAAAAAACTTACCAAAAACGCTAACTTCCATTACAGCATGGAGAGGTACATTGGAGTCTAAATGTGGGCTCAAAGATAGCTCTCCTGTTGTTTCATCCAGAAGCAATAAATTGGCATTGTTTCCAGATATGAATTTATATCTTAGTCGATCCGTTACGTCAGCATCATGGGCTGGTACTCTTCCAATAGGATTTTTAGGAAAATGATATTTATGGTGATTAAAAATGATGACGAAATCAGTGAGACGTGGTGCATTATCATTTACATCAGTTACCCAAATGTTTACTTCTACGTCACTTCTTAAAGGTGGAGAAGCTGCTCTAACAATTATTGAATATTTCTTTTTACTTGTTTCATAATCCAAATATGTTTTTGTAATTAATTCAGATGATCCCCCATTTCGAGACATTAGACTAAACTTATCGGCATCTGGACCACCTACAATACTGTAAAAAATTTCCGCATTAGTACCTTCATCAGGATCACTCGCTATAATTTCTCCGACTAATGATCCTATAGGGCTATTTTCTGAAACAAACATTTTAATAATATCCGCATCAAACCTTGGAGGGTTATCATTCACATCTTCAACATTTACTGTAATAGTAACAGCTGAAGACAGTGGCATAGCTCCACGATCAACAGCAAAAACAACGAGTCGATACATAGATGTTGATTCTCTATCTAAAAGCTGATTTGTACGTATGATTCCAGATGTAGGTTCAACAATAAATGCTCCATCGCCATCATCTCCTCCATTAAATGTGTATCGTACCTGCCCACTGAGACCGATATCTTTATCAGAAGCAGATACCTGAATGACACTCGATCCAACTAAGCTATCTTCTCTGATTGAAGCTGAATAAGAAGGAAGAAGAAAATTCGGAGGATTGTCATTCACATCTAACACTTCAATTTCTACATTTATAGTGTCTGATAAACTCGGACTACCATGATCATGAGCTGTTACAACTAAAATAAATCCTGATGTCAATTCTCGGTCTAACTTTTGACTGGTTTCTATCGCTCCCGTAATAGAATCAATGGTAAATTCAGGATTCTCTTCGATGGAATAGGAAACGCGAGCATTGTCCCCTACATCACCGTCTGAAGCTTCAACTACTAGTACTGTGGTTCCAATGGGAGCATCTTCTGGAATACTAGCTGTATAAGGAACTTTCTCAAATAAAGGTTGGTGGGTGTTTGCGTCTCTTACATTTATGCTTACAATAGCTGTATCAAACCTGCCACCTGCGTCAGTAGCTGTAACAGTGAGAACAAATTTTTTGTCGAGTTTGTAATCAAGAGGCTGAGCGACAGAAATTAATCCTTCTCTATTTTGGTGAATAATATTAAAGCGTCCTCGATGGTTACCGTCACTTATATGATATATTAAACGAGGTTCCTCATCGCTGTCACTAGCTGTTACAGCCACAACAGGTGTACCAGGTGGATCTATTTCTAATACCGATGCTTCATAAAATTTTGGATCAAAAACTGGATCATTGTCATTGATATCTTGCACTCGAATGATAACAGATGCTGTCGATGATCGCGCAGGAGAGCCTCTATCCTTGGCTAAGACTTCAAAATCATAAAATGAATTTTGCTCTCTATCCAGTTCACCTGTCGTCAAAATCCACCCCGACATTCTATCAACAGTAAAAGGTACAGAGTGCTTAGACGGCAAAATGGAATAAATTATTTCGGAATTAGGACCATCGTCAGCATCGTAAGCCTGGACTCTCATCACACTATGACCAATAGGTACACCTTCAGACACCGATTCTTGAAATAGAGAGGTATAAAATTTAGGATCATTATCATTAGCATCAAGTAGGCGTAAAATAACGTTACTAGTATTGGAACGCGAAGGCTGCCCACCATCTTGTGCCCTTACAATTAGACGATAGCTTCTTACTGTTTCGTAATCTACTGGAGAAACAATGGATATTTCCCCACTTTGAGAATCAATGCTGAAGTGACCTTGAGTATTACCACCAATAATTGCGTAACGAATAGCTGCATTAATACCTTGATCAATGTCTTCAGCTTTCACAACTGCTACTACAGGACGAGACATCCATTCGATATCTTCTGGTACATCAATTAAATATGTCCTCTCGGTAAATTGAGGATAATTATCATTATCGTCTAAAATAGTTACTTCAACAGTAGCAACAGTAGACCTTTGTTCGGGATCGGTTCCTTTGTCTGTTGCTTGGACCAGAAGAGAATAAAATGCTGTTGTTTCCCTGTCAAGTTTTTTACGAGTTGTAATGATCCCGGTATTTATATCAATATAAAAAATATCATTCTCACCCGTTGGATTTAATATACTGTACTCTATTTCAGCATTTTCATTAATATCCTGATCAGTTGCTCTAACTGTTATAACTGTTGAACCTACTGGACTCATTTCACGAATAGAAGCTGCGTAAGTAGCTTGTTCAAACATAGGTGTGTGGTCATTACGATCAGCAACAATAACTTGAACAGTTGCACTACCAGTGCGGTAAGGCAATCGCTGGTCAGTAGCTGTTATTCTCAAATAGTGTTCATTCATAAATTCCCTGTCTAAATGAGTGGTCGTTTTGATTTCACCAGTTTGCGAATTAATTTCAAAAAGTCTCTGACTTCTAGAATCTAGAGCAGCATACAGATTGTATGAAATGTTATCACCATCTGGATCATTTGCAGTTAGAATTGCAACAGAATATCCCCCTTCAACTTCTTCAGGAACAGTTACTTTATATGTAGTTTGGTCAAATTCTGGTGATTTATTGTCTAGAGATCGTCGATCTCTAATAAATTTAGAACGTTCAAAAAATAAGCGAACAGGTTGAGAGAATGAAACATCTTCGCATGCAACTTCAGCATTAAATTCAACTCTCCAACTATTTGAGGAAGCGCAAAAATCTCGATCGGCTACTAATTGCCCCCCGTTAATTTCTATTAAGTAACTGTCTTGCAAAGGCTGCGAATAAATTACATCACATCGTCGTAACTGAAACAAGGGGAAAATATCTGATAAACTTACTATTTCTTGACTTTTTTTCCAGCAATTATTTTTACCAACATTTATAATAGCTATCAGATAGTTATTGTTATATTCATTTCTGCACGATGGATTATTCAATTTTAATGCAAATGGTAAACTTATATATTCCACTGAACTCACATATGGAATTCTTTGATTTGAGCCGATAAAAAAATTTAAATAATTGTTATTAATAACACTATCTATCGAGCACGTTAATTCATTTTTTAAATAAACAACACCTGTATTTGGATCAATATCTAAATAATTATTAGTCAAATTCGATAAAAGAGTAGATTCAAAAAAATAGTGCCTACCTTTAGCAGAGCTACAATTAAACAGCGCGAAACCCGGCTTGTTATGATATGAATTAAGTTGCACGATAAATGCGCCGATCTCGGAGAAAAGGAGTATAAACAAAAAGCCCACACTACGGTCTACATTAGGCCTAAGCGCCGGCCACCGCATTATTGCGGTGAAAACCTCTACAACTAAATTTCAGAGATGTTTTCCCGAGCACATTTATTAAAAAATGTTGGCGGTATTTGAACTGTCAAGATAAGAAGAATAAAATACCGGCTTTATTGAATCCGAAAGATATGAAGAGACATTTATTTACTAGCCTGTTTCACCCTCTTTTCGTACTATTGGAACCACTACACGCACATCAATGAAATCAAGGGTTACCACAATCTTTCTATCACGCCAATAGGTGTGCCAAGTAATCGTTTTCGTACGGAAAAGAGTGTCGATTGAAGATATAGAACACTTATTTATCGCTTTATTCTGAGATCTAGATCTGAATTCGGGCTTTAAATTGTTGACGAGACTGTTAATATGAAGACATTTTAATTAAAACTTTTAAAAAATAACTACAACTATAACATTATTATAATAGTTATAAACATAATGATGCATTCAAGTGTTAGAGTTTTATATCAATTTATTTAGCTTTCCTGAAGTTATTCAAGTTTTTATTTTAATTAAATCATAATGAACAAATAGAGTGTGAATGAAATTCATCTTACTCTATCTTAACTCGATATTAGAGCTAAGATGAAATTTTATCATTAGTTTCCTTAGTGCGTTATACTCTATTTAGGTAAAATAAAATCACCAAAATCTTACAATATTTTGAATATTTTAGGATACAATTATATATTTAAAAATTATACTTATTTATTTTTAAAAAATCTATTTGTTTTTTTACTTCTTATCAATTACGATTTCCTTTTAATTAATAATACTCAGAGAAAATAATTTATTTTGCTAGAAAATATTGTACATAAGAAAATATTGTAAACAAAATTTTCCTCTATTAGGAAAAAGTTTCCAAGAATGCGAAAATTAATTAAAGAAGAAAAGAAAATTTTTAATTCTACTTATATATTTAAATAATATATTTAAATTGAAAAGTTTGAATATAGATTTGAATTCATTTCGCCCACCCACATTATGCTTTTAATAACGGCACTAAATTGATTCACAGAAATGCTATAATGTATTTCGATTAATTCTTAAAGAAATGCTCTTATCTCTCAAATTAATCGAATTGAGATTTTATTTCAGGTCTTGATTATCTTTTAATTAAATATTGCTCAATAATAATATATCGGTTGGAATTGCAATGTCGTAGCCAGGAGTCGGGTCAATGGAGTCCAAGCTCCTGCTTCCGAGATTTAAAATAAAATAAAGATGATAAAATAGCAAAATATGAGAAAAATTATAATTATTAATTTTTTTTAAGAATTTTAAGTTATAAAAAAACTGAGTATCTTATTTTATTCTTTAGTTACTATAACGACAAATTTGGAGGGGGAAAAAGATAACTCAGAGTTTTCAAGACACCGATACCCTATATCGAGACAGGGTTTTTTTAAGACCTCAAGTGGCCGTAATAACATTTCTTCTATATTTTGTTTACATTTTTTGTTAGTTTGCTTGTTTTATAATATCATTTAATTTTATTACCTGGAATAGGTAATGTGAATTTTACCTAAGTTTGACGCGATACAGCCGCATTTTGCTCTTATGACATTCAATCTTACATCCACAATATACAATCGATATATTTTCATATTCGCTATAAAATTTAAAATTTTTTGAAATACTCGTTAGAACACATCCTCGACGGCTACAGCGATCGATGGCTACAGCGTCACAAATGTTGTTTTTTTATTACCGGCGTTGAAGAACCGACCCAATTTTGAGTTTACGACAATCAGTATTCAACTCCGTAGCCGTGTAATTTTGAACTCACCCAGAAGATAAGGGAACTCCTGGATCAAGCAGTGAGACAAACCAGCCTTCGTGGAAGACTTTTTGGTGGAACTAACCCACATTTGCGTTACACGGGGAGGGAATCCACGAAAAACCCCTATAGTTACCCAGGCGGTAAGGGAACTCTAACCCATGATTCATCTATCACAGATGATATTTCCCGCAGCACTGTGGTTTGTACGAGCAGGGAGTGAAATTCGTATTAACCAGCCACCTCTGGGATTCAAACCTGGGTTCCCTCATTGAGAGGCAAATGCTCTATCTCCTGAGCCACCACAGCTCTCACAAGTGTGTTTAGCAGTTATTAATTTGTGACAATTTTATAACTATAAATAAACACTAAACTAAAAGGAAAAAAATCCTACTCTTCCTATGCGCGCTCTAAGTTTGAAAATAAAATTATGATTTTTTAAAGATTTGTTAAATGAATATATGAATAACAATTAAAGATCACCAATATATGAAAGTTTTCTCTTCTATATTTATGTTCATAAAATATTATATTTTCCATATTATGCCTGTGCAAACCAAAAACTGAGATACCGAGTTTTTTTTTTTTTTNTAGTTTTTTTTTTTTTCTGAAAAAAAAAAAAATTATGGCTAACAAAGTACAAAGCTGGGGGATTTTAAATTTGATATATTCAAATACTGTGTAGAGCAAACAAACAAACAAAAAATCTAACCTTAAATAACTATTGTTCTAATGATCAGATTTTCACGTATATAAAACCCATTCTAATGATGCTAATTATGAATTAAGTTACATGGTCAGACACAGAAACGTACTTTCTTTGAATAAATATACTTATTTTTCTTCTACGATCTAAAATTCTTGATCTTTGAAACATGTGAAGCTAACGCAATTTGGAAAATATGGCCCCAAAAGCTTAGTCAGGCAGATTTCAATTTTTTTTTTTTGGCCATTGAACCCTAATTGATCGAACTTCTTTTGGCAAAACCCCGACAATATTAAAAAAAAACTTAACCAAAAAAATAATAATAAAAAAAAAAAACTACCAATCATTTTGAAAATATTTAATGGGAAGAATGAAATATTTGATATTCTTTTGAAAATATTTAATGGGAAGAATGAAATATGTGATATTCTGAATTTGTTCTTGGTGTATGAATATATTGAAAATAAATAAAATAGGCTTAATTATGGTTTTTAACACAGTTTTAAACATTGAGAATAGTTATCAGAATTCGTAATTTTTTATTCTTGAATTTAATTATTTTATTTTAAAATGAAAAGCTAGAATTCATTTTATTTTAAAATGAAAAGCTTCCGTTTACTTACGGAATTTTTTATAAGTACATTAATGCTTAGCCTTTTATAATTAATTCAATGCGTTGTTATTGAAAATATATATAAATATACATAATTTTAAATTCTGCTACTTTTGTTAACATTGGTATTTATTTTAAATAATTTCTTATAAACAAACCGAAATATTATATGAATTAGGGATTATTGGTTGAATAGGAAAATAATTGTTGATGGTTAAAAAAAAAGTTTAAATCCTCGGAACCCAGAAATCCTTTGATGGAACTCCAGGGTTCTGCGGAACACCTTTTAGGAACCACTAACTTACTCAAAATATTTTAACAAACCTCGTATCATACTTTTTGCGCTATCTCGGGAACTTTTCGAACAAATCATTGTGAAAAATATTTTTCAAATTATTGGAAAAAGTAAATGTAAGTCAAGTAAAATTGATTTCTTAATAATTATTTATTAATTTTTTTCAATCATTTTTTACCGACCCCAGACAAAAAAGCTTTGAATTGTAAAGTGTAAAAATTATAGGCTATTTTAAACCATTGGTATTACAAATGACAAATACAAAATTTGAAGAAGAAAAAAGAAACAAGTCGCATAGTTCGTGAGAATTGGAAATTTAAAAACACGATTTTTTAAAATAATTTTATAGCTAAGATACTTTTTGACCAATGCCGCTAAAATTTTGCAACTGTCTATTAAAATTTTACAGTTAAAAATTTACATGTCTTAAAATTCATAGTTTTTTTCAATTACGAATAAATAAATCAATAAAAGCTAATAAATAATAGAAATTTATTATTTTTCATCTTTAGACATACGAAATTTATAATTGAATGCAATTTATTATCGATCTTATTTTAGATCTAATATGTTTTTAATGAGATTTATCTTATTTTCACCATTTGATATTTTACCTGACAGTGATGGGCATCATTCACGAAAATTTTATTCATGACTAAATTTATTCAGAATTATTCTGAATGATTATTCATATGAAAATTTAGTCATTATTCATCATTCATTATGAAAATGTATAAAAATTTTTGAATAATGATTGATGAATAAACTCATTAGTCATGTCTAATTTTTCTGAATAAAATTTTGAATAACCAGCAAAAAATGCAATCGATATGTCTTAGTCTATAACGAGATGCAAAACATCGTTTTCTCTCAAACGTCTTATTTTAGGAATTAAACTATAAAACTAAGACAAGTATAAAACTAAGACAAGTAGGACTATTTATTTTTTTGTTATTTTAACTTACTCCAGCGTAGCATACTTAGTTGTGCTAAAAACTAGGTTTATAACAGTTTAGTTACTTAAGTTCATTCTAAAATTTTGTACTAAAATCTATAAAACGCAATTTTTTATAGTTTTTGAAAGCAAACGATAATATTATTTTAAATTTTTAAATAAAATTTTAATTTAAAAAATTAAACCCTTTTTTGCCATGTAACCATTTCTCAAAAGTATGCATTATGTTAGACAAAAGTAAATTTTCTCAAACATTATATAAATATACTTGAAAAGGATTAACGTTTTATTTGTAGTTGTCATAATCGTAGTCAATTAGAGTATTCCGTGCCCATTTTTGTTGACCAGTGAAATTATTCAGTTATTCTTGACTAATGAATAAAGGATACTGAATAACGAATAATGAATGATTTATTCTTTATTCAAAATATTTCTGACTAATGAATAAATCTTTATTCATCATTCATTATTCAGATTTTGAATAATTATTCATCATTCTTTATTCATTATTCTGAATGACAAATGCCCATCTCTGCTTAGAAGTTATATTTAATTCAACTACAGCCATCTATAGTGTTGTATTGGCACTTTTCGGATTTGGGAGGGTAATTACACATAAGTAAGGGACACATACAAAATAATGTATAGAACAAAATATACAAATTCTTTTAAGAATTTATATAAGTAGACACTCCAACTGTATCACAATATGTATGCATTTGTCTCTGTAACACCTTACTATAGAAAAACTACTTAGAAAATTCAGAAACATGGGACAATAACGACATTTTGCCCGTATTTTATTTATTTAAAAATTTATTTTAAATTCAAAATGAGCTGGAGCATATTTTATTT